TCTTTTAACTAAAATAATCATCAGTTGGATGGTACCCACAATTATAAAAATCTGGTTTGGCTCTTGCAGTTAAGGACTTTGATCAGTTTCTTAATTAAAACAAGTTTTACAGAAATTGATCATATGGCTTTAAAAAAAGATGTAGAATTAAAGCATAAGGTATATAGTTAGGTTTCTGATTCAAATTTTGTCTGTTACTTATGAAATGGGTGACTTTGGACAAGGTATTTCACCTTTGCGAGCATCATTTTCTTTCTCTGCAGGATGGAGCCAATACCCAGCCTGCATGGTCCTTGTGAACAGTGGTGATAATAGTGTAAAAGAAAGCACAGAGCATCATCCCGGCGCAGGGCAAACACACAGTATATGTCAGTTATCTCACTTTAATATAAAATACTCAAATTCACGATGACTGACTTAATAGGTCTTCAATAAATATTGAGTGAATTAATGAATCAGAAAATATGACCTAGGATGCAGTGGCCATAGACAGAATGTAGGAGGCACCACTTTTTAAAGAGCCAGGAGCTTCTCTCTGAAGTTCAGAACTGTATCAATGCAGGGATCACTCAGCTAGTAGATATTTAAACAAACCACATGGAACACCCAGAGCAAGGCTAGACTGGGCTTATCGTGGAAAAACAAGTGCAACGTGCTTGGAATGACTGGCATCCTATAGGGAAGAAGTATCACCATGACAACAGAAGAGATTTCTGTCTATATTTTTTATGTTAACCTCAAGGAGGAGAAGATACCATCAAAAGAAAGCAGAGTGTTTGCCTATTAACTGTGCCTGGTTTCTCTGCCAGTGATACGACCACCATCGTCTCCAACACAAAACCAATGTTCGGCTTCATGACATGGGTTAGCTTTGTTCCTATTGGAAGTGAGCTGGTCATGACATTGAGCTTAGCTCTTGTGTTCTTAGCTCTTGTGTCACTCTAAGTTACTTAAGAGTTTATATTTCCATCCCAGAAGAAAAGAGAAAGAAAGAGAAAGAGGGGAGTTGGGGGGGGGGTGGAGATGAGATGGGATGGGACAGAAACAAACAAAAAGCATGAATTAAAGATGGCACACTGGGGAAATAATATTGCCTCAACCCACGCAGCTGCTAAGAGGACCAAGTAAATATTTGTAAAGCTCCTAGCAGTCACTGGCATTTAGCAAGTACTCAGCACATGCTCATCGTTATAATTACTATTATTGTTTTGAGAGGAATTTGTGTGGCTTAATCCATTCCATTCATATTCAAGCTCACCCCATTCTGCTCCATCCCACAAACCATAAGCAACAAATGCAAAAAAAAAAAAAAAAAAGGTAGGTAAAATAAAATAAAAGATGTTTTTAATGACTGTTAAGAAGGTTCAGTCAGTACGACCATGTGTGAGCTCCAAACTGCACGTGTCTTTATGAAGTGTCAGATACAGCGTATGCCCCGTGAATACAGGTGGCATCGAATTACAGTAAACATTGGTCGTAAGAGTGCGCCTGGTTCCCATTCTGGAGGCTTTGTGACTATTTTAATCTTTGCTTTTTTCAGTTTGAGAAAGAACGCCTTTCCATAATCATGAAACCATCATTCTGAATCACTCCTTAAAAAGCATTATCTGGAGTGAGATGATAACATTCCTTATAAGCAGCTACAGTTGCAACAAACTATCTCCGCTAAAGCATTAGCACAGGGGGATCCCTGGGTGGTGCAGCGGTTTAGCCGCCTGCCTTTGGCCCAGGGCACGATCCTGGGGACCCGGGATCGAATCCCACGTCGGGCTCTCAGTGCATGGAGCCTGCTTCTCCCTCTGCCTGTGTCTCTGCCTCTCTCTCTCTCTGTGTGTGTGACTATCATAAATAAATAAAAATTAAAAAAAAAAAAGCATTAGCACAGGGCGAAGGCTTTAAGAAGCAATTTATGACAGCCATCACCAAGTCCTCAGGGGCCTCGGTGACTGCCCTTGAGGGGAAGCCACGCTTAGGGAGGGGGGGTTCTGGACAACGTTCCAGACACATCTTTTTATGAAGTAAATGCTTGCTTCTTGCTTTCCCACACAGGTGTATAAGCCACCAGTCTGCCACGCTAGCTTTTGGTCCCAAACTGTCATGAATATTTGTGCATAAGGAATCAGAAATTCCTTAGGCCCAGTTTCCACAAATAAGAATGTGTGTTGCAGTTCATTGCTCGGTCTGCCTGGTGAAAAGGGAGGGAAGACAGGTAGCGCCAAGGTATCCGGGTTCCTCCTCTTATTTCATGCAAGTACTTCTAACTGGTCATTCCCAGTGGTGATAAGAGGCAATTGTGGTGCTTTCTCTTTTTAAGAGTATAAAACTCTTGAATTAATTTCTTAAGAAGGATAAGGGAAGCGAAGTCTATCTGGCTAAATTGGAACACGCCTCCACAGAAACCGAGCACAGGGGACCAGTGCCAGATTATCATCGTTCAGGAGAGAAATCTGGAATGACAATCAAGAAATGTGTTCCACTACACCAGTGTCAAAAGATGCCACCATCATGAGAAGTGTCCCCTTATTGCTATCTCAGTAAGCAAACATGGTGGGGACAGGACAGGAACTACCTCAGTCTGTTTCTTCATGCAAAGTTAGTGGCAAAAAGGCTCTGAAACCTAATCTGACAAAGATGTAAATAATGAAAACTCAGAAAGACCAGTCGAAGAAATCTGGATACCTAATATAGTCTTTTACCTTCATAACTTTGTAAGCAAAGGGTTATTTGAATAGTCATCCATGTGCAAATACTTCAAAACTACTTCTGAGACTAATGACAAAACCCTTGAAATCCTACAGTAAGTTATCACTCTCATAGACATTAAACACTTTGTATTTAAATAAGCAGATAATTAGTAGAAAATTTATCTTACGGATAAAAGTCTTTAACGTCCCATATGTCGTTGTTGTTAGGTAAAATAATAAGAATCTGTTTTCTCTTGCAATTATTGAAAATGCTATCATAAAATTTCTCCCCGTCAGTGCTAATGGAAGAATAAAAGCCTCCAACTGCCATTAGTACTGATGCCAGAGTAGTTCAAGTAACATTGTCTGTGTAATGTAGATATTAAAGTCAGGCTGTCTTTGTGCAGAGCTATTAAACTCACTGATAAATTCAGGGCCAACGATTGATTTGACTTTTTCCTCTCTAATTTGTCCAGCTCTCTGACTAAAGAGACCTCATCAACCCCATATCTCAGAATCATATACACACACAGCAAAGGGGTCATCAGCCCATACTTAATCCTTCCCATTAAAAAAAAATCAGCAAATATGGCCAAATTAGGAAATGCATTAATACTAATTAGAATATAAATATTAAAATGCTCAAAAAAAAAAAAACCACACACAAACAAACCCAGCAATCTCCAGGAATACAAATGAAAGAAAGTAGCCCTTGGCACAAAAAAAAAAAAAAAAAAAAAGCAACCACAAAGCCTTATTAGTGGGTGGAAAAGGTTTAGTTGCAGGCTTCCTGCATTGGTCCTGATTTCCCATCTACCTACTGACGCCACTTAATTAATTGCCTGCATCTTTCATTTGACTTGTGTGGGTGGAATTCTTAAAGATAGAGAGTTTTTTAGAAAATAGAAAGCATATGGAAAAAAGAATAAAAAGAAAATATTTTATATCTTGTATAATGGGTTAATTGACAGGCAAGGGGAAGTGAAGGTAAGCTTTGCTGTCATTTTCCTTTACTTACAAAAAGAAGACACAGCCTAGTGGTATAATTGCAGAAATAAGTCCCCAAAACCATGAAAGCAAAAATAGTTTGTCTCAGTGCTAACAAAATAGATTTATCAATAGATTGCCTTTACCGTTATAATATTCCCATCAGTACTTCAGGTACCCTTAACTTTCCTGTACAATTGAACAGATGAACAAATATAACTTTGTCGTGGATTCACACAGAGGAGAATATAATCCTCACAAGAAAATGCACAAGAAGAAAATAAAGATCCTTTGTTTTAGGGCTAGGAATAAAATTTACGTTCTTTACATTCACTAGGGGAAAATGAATGCATTTGTAGTCTAAATAGTACTATCAGCGTGAAATCAAATCTAAATCCCTTTCTCAAGACAGAAATAATTTGTAAAATATTTCCAAGTATACAGTAGATGCCTTTGTCTGTTAGTCTGTGCACAGTTGAGTGCATAAGCACGTGTGTGAGCGGCTTTATGAATTCCTCGTGGTGGGTTCAGAGTGCTTAAGGCTATGTCTGATTATAGGACCTCATCTATATAAGGAAATTAAATATTAAAACAGTGCTTTGAAATAACATTAGGGATCTGATACAATGCAATAAAAGCCGATAATCTGACTAATAAGGAGATCCAACAAATCTCTACCACCTCTTCTAATTGAATCATTGCAAATTTAAAACGGAGAACAATTTACTTTATGCTACTGGTTCAAATTTGTTTGCCTTTGAGGTCCGTTTATTTTGTTTCTTTTGTACTCTTAAAATAGATTTCCATATACATAACTTGCCTCTTTCTTTCCCTTATGAAACAGAAAACAAGCTTAGAAAGTGTATAATATCAGTTCATCACTTAGGCAATCTCTCTGGAAAATGGGAGTTATATAGAAGTGTTTGTGCCATTCATATACATGCAGTGTTGCTTGAAAATGTCTAATCTTCCTGATACCATGAATCAACTCCTAGTAGAAGCTCTGGTCTTTTGATTAAACACACTGAAGTGCATTTCAAAGAGGATATTATATAATCATTACATGCTAATAGCATTCTAGGAACTGCTTCAGTTAATCGCTCAAACTATTCAGGCATATGGTAACCCGTTCTGAAATAAATGTTTCGTCTAAAAGAACAGAAAACCTATATAATATGGAAACCACTTTTCAAAAAAGAAAATCTTGGCATAGAGTGTTGATGATATGTATGCTTGCCAGCGTCATATTCTGAACATACCTGTCTCAATCATAAGTCTATAAATCAAAAGTCAAATAACATGGGAAACTCTATTTTTCTCTTCTTTTTTTTTTTTCCATATGTTCCTCATTTGGAAATCCCCATGTTGTAGAATGGTTGAATCCAAAATTTTTATAACCAAGGTAAAAAAAAAAAAAATCTCTGAAAACCAGGATTGGGGTGAGAAGTAAATAGTCTCTTACCCAAGACAAGACAGAACCATTTCTCTGGGACATCAACACAATAGACCCTTTTCTTTTTTTTTTTTTCTTTTTTTTTTTTTTTCTCCTGCATTGAGAGCCAGAGAACCCATATAAAACGGAAACAGAATTTCTTTAGGTTACAGTACATAAAAGAACATCAGTGGTTCGTGGACAGTCATCATAACTAGTTATAAAACCAGATTTTAAATCCGAGGTTACTGACAGATTATAAAATGTTAACAGCTGGATAAACTGTAAAATATGCATTATCTACACATGAAAAGGTTACAGTTTATAAATGCTAGAATACTGTGTCTATTGGCATTTTAGTGAAATCTTTCCCTGATCCTAATTTCTTCACTGGGTGGGAAAGAAAAAGAAAAAGAAGAAACCTGCTCTGCTGAGCTTTTTATTTCTCCCCTAACAAATGGTCTACACCAACCAAACCAAAATGCTCCTTTATTGACCTATTTGCATACCCATCAACTGAAAGTAGGCAAGTGTTCTGCCAATGAACAATCCCTTCTGCTCATCAGAAGGTAAAATACCTGGCTCTTTCAGCTCTGTAGGTGTTTCCCACACAGTGATACAGCAAAAGGTCTTTTTTCTTTTCTCTCTCTTTCTCTCTTTCTCTTTTTCCTGGAAAGAAAAAGGAAAAGAAGGAAGGAAGGAAAGTGTCATGGAAGAAGGGGGGTGCTCCTCTGGTGCTGGCAGTGGTTCCTCCAGGCCCTGTCTGGACGCTGGCACAGCCAAACATCATGGCATGATGCTCACTTGGGTTTGGTTAAGTCCTGTTTTTTGCAAAGGCAAGTAAAGGTGACTTCCAGGTGTTCAGTGCATCAAAGGAAAAAAGGGAAAAAAAAGAAAGGATTTTTTTTAAAAGGCCAAAAACTAAAAGTGCTTGGAAATCATTCTCGGGTAGCTTATTTGAGCGGAGAATCCCACGTGTAGCACCCCCTCTCTGGTGTATCCGGCCCCTGCCCCCTCGGCGTGGCCGAGACCTCCTCGGTCTGGGCTCTGGAGCGGGGATGGCCCTACAAGCCTCTCTTCAGGGGAAGCATGACCTCTGTTCGCGGTTTCCAGGGCGGGGGGGCGGGGTCGTATTCCTTGACATGTGGTCCATGCACCTGGGCTTCGGAGACCTCACAACTTTTTGGCACTGTCGTGGCACGCCGCGGCCCGGAGGGTGGTCCCCGCCAAAGCCCGGCTGCTGACTCTGCGGACCAGCACCTTGGAGACTGGGATTTTCGTTCTGGGCATCTCACTCCGGACTGGCTGCTGCTGCACCACGGGATGGCTGGACGGAGGGCCCGCGAGGTGCTTGACGCTGATGGGGATCTTGGAGTCCTTCGGCAGACTGCCAGGTGTTCGCAGCGGGCAGGTGATGGTGACGGGAGACACAGGCTTCAGGCGGGCCGGGCCGGACGTCTCGTCGCTGGCGGGGCCGGCGGCGGGGTCGGCGTGGGGGTCGTGGGGCGCGTCCCCGCTGGGGCTCTGCCGGGGGGCGCTGGCCCGCTGGCCGCCGGCCGGGCCGTCCTCCTCGGGCCCGGGCGGGGAATCCCGGCAGCCCTGGTCGCCGTTGGGGACGGCCGCGGGCTGCTCCCTGCGCGGCTGCGTGGGCTGGTCCGGGGGCTGGTCCGGGGGCTGGTCCGGGGGCTGGTCCGGGGGCGGGGGCGGGGGCTGCGGCTCGGGGGCGCCGCGGTCGAGCCTCCTGTGCTTGCCCGGGGGCGCGTCCCTGGCCCCTTCCGTGCACCGGGCGTCCCCGCCGGCCCCCGCCGTCGCCGCCGCCGCCGCCGCCGCCTGGGGCGCCTGGGGCGCCGCCTGGCCCTGGTCCTCGGCCTGGGACAGCATGTCCCAGAACTCCTGGAGGTAGGTGTCGTCCAGCTCCTCCGGGCTCGCCATCTCCTCCCCTCCTCCTTGGTAGGCCACCACGCCGGCGTTCTTTCTAGGGGGGCCCGGCTGGCCGGGCCCGGGGACATGCTGGGCGCAGCCGGGGCCTGCCTCGTCCTCGGGGTCTGCAATAATATCTCCGCAGCCTGTAAGAGAGTCAAAGCTTTTCAGTGAAGTCACGTCAGAAAACATCAAACAAATACGATCTGCCGACGGGTCTGAGGGCGGGTCGACGGAGCAGGGGTCAGGGGCGCGGCCGCCGCCGCCAACGCCGCCGCCAACGCCGCCGCCAACGCCGCCGCCAACGCCGCCGCCAACGCCGCCTTCCGAGTCGCCAGGGCGGTCCCCGGGGCTGCGGGCGCCGTCGGCCGGCCGGCCCTCCCCGGGGCGCAGCTGCGAGGCGGCCCGGGGCTCCTGGGCGCCCCCGGCCGGCGCCGGCTGCCCCCCTGCGAGCTCACCTGCTGGCCGCGGCGGCGCGTCCCCGCTGGGCTGCTCCGGCGGGCTGGCGCGGGCGGGCGCGGGCGCGGGCGCCTCCTCCTTGACGCACTCCAGGCTGGCGGTGAGCGAGCCGGGCAGGATGAGGCCGCCCGGGGCCCCCGCGCGCTCGCCCTTGGCCTCCGCCTTGGCGCGCTTGTCCTTCCTGTGCCAGCGCATGCTGCTGAACAGCCCCTTGAGCCCTCGCTTTTGTTTGCCGCCGGCCTTGCTCGCGTCGGCCGGCTCGCCCCTGCCGCTCTCCGGCCGCCCGTTCTTGCGCAGCAGGGAGAAGAAGCTGTGGGACTTGGCCACCGCGCTGCCGGCCAGGGAGCCCGCGCCGGGCCCCGCCGGCCTGGGGGGCCCCGGGTGCGGCCGCCCCCCGCCGCCGCCGCCGCCGCCGCCGCCGCCGCCGCCGCCGTCCCCCCCCCCGCCGCGCGGCTCCTCCTTCCTGCCGCTCTCCAGCACCAGCACCTCGGCCAGGCCGTCGTGCGTCCGGCTGCGCACCATCCCCGCCGGACCCGAGCCTTTCCCGTCCCCTTTGTTTCGGACCCCAAAAATGCTGGGCATGGGGCCACCCGATCTCCTCTTCTTGAACAGTTTGAAGGCGGCTTTGTTAATCCTCCCCGACGGCTGCTCGGCGGCCGGCGGCGTCTCGGCGGCGCGGTCACAGTGCAAGTCCATGTCTGCCGCGAGGGTCCCGGCCGCGGCCTCCGCCTGCCTCCTGCAGCCCCCCGCGGACGCGCCGCCGCCGCCGCCGCGCTCGCTGACAGCCTGGCCGCCGCCGCCGCCGCCGCGGCCCGCGCTCGTCTCCATGGAAACCGAGCGGGCTGAGCCGCTTTCGTCAGCGCGGGCTCGCGCCAGCCCGCTGTCACCCGCGCTCCCCGTCAACCTGAGCCGCTCGCGCCGCCGCCGCCGCCGCCGCAGCAGGACAAACACGCGTCAAAGAGCGTCTCCCCTCCCGCCCGGGCCTTGTGTAATGCCCTAACCCACTTCGGAGCCGGCTCGGCTTTGTGCTGCAGGGTCTGTGCGAGCGGGGCACGAGCAGGCAACGCAGCCTCCAGTCGACTGCAGGAATCAGAGCCGGCATTGTGGAAGGCACACCGCGGCCCGCCTCACCCGCCTCCGGCTTCCTCCTCCTCTCCAGAAGCCCGGTGGTGGATCGCAGCAACCACCGCCCCCCCACCCCCTACAAAAATGATGAATGAACTGATTGATGAATAAAAAATAAAGAATAAAAAGGACAAAGAAATCCACCCCCAACCCAAAATGGTCATTGCTCTCAGCGCCTCTCCCGGACCTCACAAGCCTTTGTGTCTTTCCCAAGCCTTTCACGTCTGTCCTTATCACTTGGCACCAAGCCCAGCAGGCATGGAGCGTGTCCCTTGACATCTGTGGCTTGTCCTCTGCTGAGCCACAGTCTCCAGGTCCATGCTGAATCCTTAGCACTGCGGTTCCAGATTCTCGCTGCAAAAACACCAGCCATCCGCCGAATACCAATTAGCAACTCTCTGCAAGGAAAGAAGTGCGGTTGGTTCTGTAAAGGGGAAGGTGACTGGTCCTCAGAGGCAACTGTGGCTTTTATCCCACACTCCAGGTCCTGGGGCTCGGGTCACAGAAGCCACGGCCTAGCCTGCACTTGATCACAATGGATGAGTGGAGGAGGGAGGACACAGTTTGAGAATCTCAGGTCCACTCCACAGGTGGTCCTTGGAGTTCAGGGTCTGCCTTCTTTTGCCTTGGGCAGGACGAGGGCTTTACTCCCGATCCCTACTGCTGCCACCCCCTACCCACTTCCACATCCCCAGGGCTTCCTGCAGCCCCCTCTGGGACAGGGAAAAGCCTGGCAGGGTCCCTGAGTGCCGGGGAGTCTCTGCAATTGCTCTGACCCACATCATCTGGGCAAAAGGGAAACCTTGCCCCAGGGAATGGCCCGATCTGGGGATCTTTTCTATGATCTGACTTCGATGGTGACTGCTAATATTGTAACCTTGACACCTAATTTCCTGACCCGAACTGAAGGTTTACTAACAATGAAAGAAGAAATTTGGAGAAGCATGTACATATATTCATGTCATATATACATGAAAGAAGAAATTTGGAGAAGCATCTACACATATATATATGATTTATATATATTTAATATTTAATAATATGTGATAAAGATATAATATTAATTTATGATCTATTTTGTTCATTATTATTGTTTAGCAATATGTGATATTTATGTATATGTGAAGATCCATCTTTTCCCTCATCATCTTGAGCTTCATTTTTTTATGAGCTGCATGCATTATACCTGGAAACTCCATTCTCTATGGGCTGAAGTCAGAGTTTTACTAATAATGTAAAGCCACTGCAGCTCCTGTAGCATGGGACACAGTTGGTTCGAATGTAGGACTTGGGGTTGTTAGCTGTATACTTGCCCTTTTCTGTTGATTTTTATCAAAAACATTGTTTTATAAAATTTTTAAAATCGTTTTGGATTCAGGAGAGGTTTTCATTCTCAGCATTTGTTTTTTGTTTGTTTGTTTGGGTTTTTTAAATGTTTTATTTATTTATTCATGAGAGACACACAGAGAGGGAGAAAGGCAGAGACATAGGCAGAGGGAGAAGCAGGCTCCATGCAGGGAGCCCAATACGGGACCAGATCCCAAGACCCCCGGATCATGCCCAGAGCCAAAGGCAGATGCTCAACCGCTGAGCCACCCAGGTGTCCCTTTTTTTTTTTTTAAGATTTATTTATTTATTCATTTATTTTATAGAGAGAGCATTTATGCAAGTGGCGGGGAGGGGCAGAGGCCGAGGAAGAGGATCTTGAGCAGACTCCCTGCTGAGCTTGGAGTCTGGCAGGGGGCTCCATCCCACAACCCTGAGCCCACGATCCTGAGATCACAACTTAAACTGAAACCAAGAGTCAGACGCTCAACGACCGAATCACCCGGTGCCCCCATTCTCAGCATTTGAATCTGGCCAGGTCTCTGCCCCTCATGCCACACATCCCTCCAGGACAGGGTTTAAACCTGAGACTAGAGAGGCCACTGCTAGTTTTAACTGACCACTTGCCACGGTGAATCAGGGTTCTCATTGCCCTGGGGAGGGAAGAGGTGTGAAAAAATATAAAGAGAAATGCATTTGTTACTTCTTCACAAGCTTTTGAAGGCAGTTGAAAATCTTTTCCAGTTCTTTCACACACACCATACAATTGCTCTGATTGGTAGGTTACTACATAACTGTGTCAGTCTGAAAGAGTTTATGACTGGGGTCAGGAAAAAATAAAGCAGTCTATAAAAAAATCTCCCCTTCTCCATCCCTGAGGCTGACGTTGGGAGAAGGTGGACTGCTTATCCACTGCAGAGCTCTGACTTCCCAGGACAGGCCAATGTGAGTCTCATTTATATGAGAATCCTTGCCCCTCACCCTCACCCCCACTCCCCACCCCCCTCCAGGAAAAATATGGCCTGGACTTTGGGATGGGTATCATTCCTTTGAGACAGGGACACTTAAAACAAAGAGAAAGAGACAAAGCAGTCTTTAATCTAGGAAGATGCTGTGGTGGCCAGTCCCTGGCCCTGAGGCAGAAGAAGGCAAGACACTTAGACTCATCCTCATCTGAAGGCCCTAGGCAAGGGGAGCTTTAGAAGCCATGGTGTGGATGGGGACCTTCAAATATTCTCCAACCCAAGGTCCTTGTTATGGGGACTATCAAAAAAAGGAGAGTGTGGCCAGCCTATGGGGACCTTACCAGAAGAATCAGGCACATGGGGGGAGAGCACCCCCTTTCTAGGGCCCAGGAGCCAGCAAGGGAGGTAGATGGTTGAGTTCCAGCCCAACTGCTGGGGGGGGGGGGCGCATTTTGAAGTCAAAGGCCATTGCTATGAATCATTGCAAGGGTTTACAGACACCTTAAATCACTCTTCACTGTCAAGAGTAAGGGAGGCAATATCTGTATTTGCACAAAATGGCGACTATTGTCCCTGAAAGACAGATCATGACGGTGAGGATAATTTTACCAGTATGCCTGTTTGGGGTTATAGTTTCCTCTTTCATTCTCTCTCCCCTACTTCACCAGTGCCCCCATGCACCCCCCAAACCTGCCATCTGAGAGAGCGAACAGAAAATTAGAGTAGGAAGGAGCTGAGGAGAAATGTTTCAGAAAAAAAGCTATTCCAGAATGATAAGATGCTTCACAAATGTGAACAGCAAGCGGGTTTTGCTGGAGACATGTGCATGCTTTTCTTTTTTGGCACAAGGGAGTGTTTATTATTCAGTCAGGGCTTTTTTCTCTGGGTAGCAAGCATCTTTGGAGGAGGTTAATCAAAAGAAGAGAAAAAAAAGATAAGAGAAGCCCAGGAGGAATCATTTGAGAGCTTACCATCATCGTCGTCATCATCATCATCAATCCCCTCTTCAGGGAGTCTTCTGACCAGCCTAACTCTAGTCTGTGTCCTGAGCTTATTGGGTGGAATTTTCTATCTGAGGGGAAACACCCAGAACATTTTGCAGAAAAGGCTGGGGGCAGAGCTGCCCTTCAAGCCACGGGGTGGCTGTACTGTGGATCTCCCCTTATCACAGCATTCCCGCTAAGGAGGCAGCTGGCTTTACCTTATGTTTGCCTGAGGTCTTTAAAAGGATAGTTTCATCAATGACATTCGGAAATGATACTTGAACTGGGATCAACACCTCCCATCTCCAGACCACTTAGCCTGCTCTGGACCCCGGCCCAATGGCAATGTCGCCTTCCTGCTCTTGGCCATCTCCACCTCCACCAACCCCCCCGCCCACCATGATTATCCTCGAAGGCCAGAAGAGTGAAGATCCTCAAACATCTTTGTTATGAGGATGATTGAGGGGAGCTCCAGCCTTGCCAACCTTGACCCTCGTCCTGCAGTTAACTCTGTCCACGTGACCAAGGTCCATCCTTGCCCTACAAGGGATGCCGTGGGCCTCCATAAGCTGAAACTACAAGGTGAAATGTACAGTGGCCAGGGGAGAAATGTGTGAATGCCCCTTGCCAGTGAGCCTGGCCCAGGGGCCCATGCTACTGACGTATTTCTGTGCCCTCCTTTCCACGGAAGACAAGGCTCTAGGTGAGCACTTGGCAGAGGACTACAGAGGTCTAAGCACAGTCGGCTGCGGCTAGACTGAAGTTCTTATGTTCTCGTTTGCATATTTTGATTTTTAATCTGTCCTAATGTGGGGTAATAGCTGTTCTGGGTATATGCTTACACAGAGAAGAAATTCATTTCTAATTAGTAACATGCAATGTAAAATCCACCCCAACTCTCAATTTTCCATATTAACCCTGGAGCACAGCTGAGGCAGCAGAGGGGAGAGAGCTCATGTCAAGAGGAGAGAGAATCCCATGTTGGCTCTGGAATGGCCCAGAAGCTCAGGGAGTGAGGTGTTCTGGGTTCCACGGGTCACCAGTCATAAGGTGTCACCTTGGCCCAGCCCCTGTGGGTTTGTACCTGGATTGTGGAGCAAGAGGGTATGAAGAAAAGACCAAACAAAAGCAAAATGAGCACTTGTCTGTAACTTTGGTGGTTTGAATAAAAGTCATGATAACAAGCATCCTTATCATTAGATTTTTTGGGGGTTACATTAGATACATTGGGTTGAAATTATGTTCTCCTACTCTATGGTTTGTCTTTCAATTTGGTATGTGGCATCTTACATAGATGTGTTTTTAAATTCATGTAGTCAAATGCATTAATCTTTCCCTTTATGATATTTATAATCTATATCTTAAGAAGATTTTCCCCCCCTCAAAGTCAAATGATATTCTCCTATCTCAGGGAGCACAGGCCATGCAG